AGGGTGTTGTCTATAGAACTCACCCAAATCTTCATGCAGAGCTTCATCAAAGATAGTTGGAGAGTTTTTGAAGCCTTGGGGCAGGTGGGTACAAGTCAGTTGTCCACTGATGCCTCTTTTCAGATTGCTCCATTCGAAGGCAAACATGGCCTGGCTCTGCAGTGCCAAGGGCAGACTGAAAAAGGCATCTTTCAAGTCCAACACTGTGTACCAGGTCTGGGTTGGGAGCAGGGAGCTCAGGAGGATATAGGGGTTTGGCACTGTCGGGTGGATACCTATTACCCACTTATTGACTTCTCAAAAGTTTTGGACTGGTCTGTAGTCATTAGTAAGGGGCTTCTTAACCAGCAACAAGGGAGTGCTCCAAGAGGACTGGCAGAGGATTAGTATCCCGGCATCCAGGAGGCATCAGATATGTGGGAGGATCCCATTTTTAGCCTCCAATGGCATATATCGTTTATATACACGGGCTTGACACCGATCTTGAGTTCTACTATAACAGGGGGCCGATGTCTGGCCAGCCCCATTCCTCCCATTTTGGCCCATGCAGATGGGTATGATGCCAGCCATTTTGACATGTCAGGCTGGTCCAGCAGTGGCTGCTGGTGGAGCTGGTATTCATTGTCCAGATGCATGGTCAGGATGTAGATTGGGTGTCCTTGTCCATCTGTGACTTGGGGCATCCCTTGCTTAAAGGAAATCCATGCCCTGATTTTGCTAAGGAGATCTCTATGGAGCAGGGGTTATGGGCAGTCTGGGATGACCATAAAAGCATGGGATACCTGGCCTATGCCTAAGTCCACTGTTCTTCAGGTAGTCCATGAGTACTGTTTCATCCCAGTAGCACCCTGTACCCAAGACTTTTTAGAGGTCAATTTGCCTTTATCACTGATTAAGACGAAGTGCTGTGCTCCTTTGTCTACTAGAAAGTCAATTGGAATCCCCTCCACTTTGAGGGTTACCTTGGGCTTGGGAAGGGAGTCTGAACCCTGACCTCCCTAGTCACTGAGCTCTCCCAGCTCTAGGATGTGGGCCCTGTTGTGGGAAGAAGGTCCTCTGTCCTGCCTCTTGGGGAAGTCCCTGGCCCAGTGTCCTGTTTCTTTGCAACAGGCATACTGATCTTTTTGCAATCTTGGGCTGTTCTCCCAGGGCTGCTCCTCACCTTCACTTGCAGCCATTCTCCTTAACTGTCATTTTCATTCCTCTGTGGAGTCTTCCATGGAGGTGAGCAGGATTTTGGCAAGATCCTGTGTCTGCTTATTTCGGGCTCGAGCCTGCTTTTCCTCAGGGATTTCTCTATTGTTGTAGACTTTCTCTGCCACTGCGAGTAGATCTTGCAGAGACTTTTCAGCTAACCTATCTATTCTCTGGAGCTTTTCCCTGATATCGGGAGCCAACTGATTAACAAAGGCCATTATATTGGCAGCTTTGTTTTCCTCTGCCTCAGGATCTATGGGTGTGTAAGTACGGAACACCTCCATGATCTGTTAAGAAAGGCTGCAGGGGACTCAGTTTTCTCTTGCTGCATATTCCCTACTTTGGCCAAATTGGTTGGCTTTCTCACTGCCTTCCTGAGACCCCCCCCCCCATTAGAGTCTGGTGGTAAACCCAGAGTCTCTCCTTACCTTCTGCCATGTTGAAGTCCCGGTCTGGGTGAGTCAATGGGAACATGGCATTGATCAGTGCAGGTTGGTGGTGGAGTTCCCGTCCTCACCCAGAATGGACTTCCAGGCCTCTGACTGGATTCTCTCCCTTTCTTCAGCAGTAAACAACACCTGTAACAGTTGCTAGCAATCATCCCAGGTGGGCTGAAGGGTAAAAAGAACAGAATCTAAAAGGTCAATCAAGGCCGTGGGTTTCTCTGAGAATTTGGGGTTTTGTATTTTGCAATTGTACAGATCACTAGTAGCAAATGCCCAATAATAGAGGGGTTGTTCTCCATTGTCATCAGGGAGGCCTGTGGACTGGAGGGGCAGGATGGTAGAGTCTGTTATTGCTGGGCCCTGCAGAGGTTTTCCTTAGAGTGTCCTACTTCTAGTGTGTGTGTGTGGCTACTTATTAGATTTCCTGCTGCTTACACCTCCCTGGGAGAAGGTCAGTCTACTCGGAGAGGTCTGGTGGGTGGGCGATAGGGAGGGAGGAGGAGAACATCTTGGTCTGTGCTATCCTGTAAAACAGGGTAGAGCAGCACAGAGGGAGGGGGTTTGGGGGATTTTGTGTGCACTGCGAGGACTGTACTCGACTTCACTTCTGCCGGTGGCAAGATTGCTGTTAGCCACGCAGGGGGGTCTTCTACTAGATCCTGCCAAGTGGTTATGTAAGGGACTTGGTCAGGATGGCCAGTTCGTGGTTGATATACAATGTCTTTAACCTGGAAAATAAGGGGAAGGTGAAAGGTTCCTTCTGGAGGCCATCTGACATTGAAGGTTGGCCATTTGTTCCTGCAAAGAGTGGTTAATTTACTTCTCTTAACAACGAGACCCAGATTCTGAGCTCTGCCCTTAAAGTCTTGGAAATGGTCAAGAAAGAGGGATAGGGGAATCATTTGAGTCTGTCCCATGTTTTCCATCAGAGTTGCCCCATTACAGACAGCCAGGCCAACACAGCTATGAAACACAAAACACACGCTACACTGAAAATCAGTCCTCTGAGATTCCACGTCTGAAGGAAAAACTGAAGGTGGGATGACAGCCTTTCGCTGTTTCATGAGAGCCACCCCCCAAGTTCACTCAAAATTACCAGAGGGATGGAGTCCACACCGAGCCCTGGGGATTCCAAGTCCCAGTTCAGAGGGGTTGAGTACAAAAATCTTACAAAAGGGGCTGGAACACCTTCCAGTGACCTGGGCTGGCTAGCCTCCAGCGCACCCACCTTGGCCTTGTGCCGGCCCTACTCAGTTCCTAAAAACATCACTAAGACAATAAGGACACAGACCACACTGGAACAGATACTTACACTTACTGACTCTTTGAGTCAGTTCCTTGAGGGGGGTCTTGGGGGTCCCGGATGAGCCCCCCAATGTTATGCCCAGATTGTGAAGTCCCCCCAAACCACAAGGGAACCAAGTCCGATGCAAAAACAGAGTCTTTATTCAAGCTTGAGTCTGGGCTCTCAGGGACCCAACACAGCAGGCAGGTCTTGGCTGAGAGCCCTGCCTTGCTATTATCTGTTTTCTTTATAGGGGTTGAATATTATGGGATAGAATAAAATGCAGGTGAACATTGTTACTAGTGGTCTCAGGGGTTGGTCTGATTGGCTGGGTTCCAGGAGGGGCGTTCTAAGGTTTTCACAGAATTTGTGGAATTTCCTGGGACCAGGGGCTTTCTGTAGGTGGAGACTTTCTATAGGCTACTCAGTGGCAGTTTTTTTTTTACAAAATGGAGTCACTTTTGTCCTCTCATGGCTACAGTCACCATGTCTGCAGCCCTGGCATGGCTCTCAGCTACACTGTAATCTAAGTAATAAAGTTAGAGTAGCAATCCATGATTTTGTTTTTGGCTTTGAGGTTGGTGTGAATATAAACTGGTACTGTCTTTATGGAAGGAAACTTGAAGGTATTTATTACAATATAAAAATGTATGCTGTTTGTAGTAGAGACTTTTGAAAACAGTCCTTCAATTGTCCATTGAAAGAACACTTTGTGGCCAATAAAAGCTGGGAGCATAGTGGGTATGATTGGGTCTTATTTGGGAGGGCATTTGCAGGCCTCCTTTGGGAGTGGCTGGCCAGCCCAGGAAGCTCAAGGTGGGAGGTTGCAGCTCCTTCAAATAGTAAGGGAAATTCTTCTTTTAGAGCATTTACACCAAGGGGATAAAGCCCCACATGTGCCTAGGACCCTCTAAAGGGCCATGAGCTGGGGGTTGATGGACACACTCTGCTCAGATGCCCCTTCCCTGAGGTCTAGCCTCTGTCTCTGGTTACTCTAGTGAGGGGACCTGAGAGCTCTCTTTCCCTATGAACCTGGGTGATTATTGGGCAGCCTTGGTCCATATCTGCCAGCTCTGGAATTGGGGGATGAGTAGGGAAGTGGGCCTGTGACATTCTGGTTGTGGCAGGCCTTCTGCCAGCGGGGGAGTCTGTCCCTTCCTACCCATTTGCCTCTGTACCAGGATCCATGGGTGTGAGCAGAAGGGATGCGTGTGATGTCCCTGTCACCTAGACTCAGTCCTCCCCTCCTGGGCCTGGCTGTGGCTGTGATAAGTGGCCCATTTTGGCCATGCTGATGAGATTCTTGAGACTGAGGGAGCTGGAGCCCACCTCTCTCTCTCTCATGTCTTCCTCCCCCCTCCTGGGTCCCCCAATAAGTCCCCTCATGCCTCAAGGACCTGAATGGACACAGCAGGTTTATCATCTCAGCTTAGAAATCCCAAGATGTCCTAATTTTCCCAGAGCCCACTTTCCCATGGAACCCCTGATATTTCACAGTGAGAAGGGAGGGTGCTTGGGGCAGGGAGCCACTTGGAGATTCCTTCTCTGATGGCAGTCAGGGGCTTTGTCTTCTCTGAGGTTCTGGCCTGGACATCAGGTACCATGGCTGCTTTGGAGAAAGCAGGCTGGGAGCAGCCCATGTAAAGAGGGCTGGCTGGTAGGAACCTGGGGGCATGGGGGTTGCTGTGCTGTGGAGGGGTCACCCTGTGCCCTGGGAGGCACAGGAAGTTGGGGTGGATGCTCCCCCACCCAGGTCCCAGCTAGGCTCAGGAGCACAGACATGGATATGGGGCTGGCCAAGGCCCAAAGAGGCTGCATCCTGGGCGCGAGGGGCAGCCTGGGGTGCCCAGGCAGCCCACGTCACCCTGCTGACCTCCCTGTGCTTGGCTGGGCCATTTGCCTCCTATCTCAATGCTGCTCTGGACACCCTTCTGTAACCTGCTCTGGGCTGCAGCTGAGCAATCCAACTGGTATGTATTCATGTCCTGATGTTGCCCTGGGGTGCGACCAGCTCCCCAGTTCCCACCCACACAGTGAACTCTTATCTCTGTGTGGGCTGGGCAAAGCAGCCACCCCACCAGCTGCTCTGCAGCCTTCCCAAGGATGCCAGTGAGTCCCACTCTGCTCACTACTACTGTGCCCTCATGCCTGTATCCACAGCCTTCAGAGTCCAGGACCCAGCTTCTGACAGCATCTGCCTCCATCCCTCTTTGTCTGGGGTGATTGGCAAGTCCTACCCCTTGCCCAGCCCCCAGGGTAGCTCCTTGCCTCCAAAATCAGGAATGGGCAGCTTGGCCCCAAAGGCCCCTCCATCCAGAGGATCCACATAGGTCCCCCAATGGGAAAATTTCATGGTCTACATGGTTGGTATGACACTAAAGGATCCTGAAGGTGGGTTCAGATTGTGGTACAGGTGCAGACTGGGTAGGAGGTACCCAACGTAGGGCCTGACCCAAGCTCACGTGGTTGTCCTACAGAAGGGCCTGTGGTGCTGTGGTGACACTCTGCCAGGCACAGACCGGAATAATCCTGAGTCCTCACCCTGGTATGTCACAGACTGGAGAACCATTTTGAGGGGACAGAGCTACCCAAGGCCCATCTGCCCAAATCCTATACCAAGGGCTTTTGCACATAATATGGGTGTGTGAATGCTCCAAGTCATGCTGACCTCTTCCCACATCTGATAGGTCTCAAGATATGCTGGCTGGGGGTGGTGGTGGTGGAATGTGTGGGAAGTGCCTGGGCTGGCCTCACAGGACAGGCCACTGCTGAGCCTGGAATGACACCTACAACCTGCCCAGGGGCCAGAAGACCAGGTTCTCTTGGAGGTCTCCTCCTCTTGGGCCTCCATCTTCCCTCCTGTGACTTGACACCACATAGGGAGCCTTTCCAGGGAGGGTGGTGGACACCAGTTAGTGTGGGACACAGCCAGCCTGGTCAACCACACCCCTGGGACAGGCTGAGTTGGTCACAGTGGGCAGGGCTGGCCTCAGGTGAGGCGGTGCTCCTCCTCCTGGACTGAGGGGCTTCTCCAGTACTTTAAGGCCTTGTAGGAACCTGGTGCCTGGCCCTGGCAAGGATGCCCAAGTGTGTGGCAGCCCCACCCCTCTGAAGGCCTCAATTTATCCTCTGTGCAAAGATGGGAGTGACCACCTAGACTCTGGAACATCTGTCTATCCTGTCTGGGTCCCTCTTACACAGGGTGTGCTGACACTTGCTCCCATGGTTCCAGGCTCTGGGGAGTGAGCCAAGGGTAGAGAGAATGTCTCACTTGTGCCTGCTCAGCCTAGAGGGCCACGTGGCACTTGCACCTGCTTCCTGCTTGGCACAGTTGCCCTTTGGGCACATAGCCAGGGGCTTCTAAGAGACAGGAGGCAGTTTTCAAGAGTCACAGCTGGCCATGGGTGGACAGTGGGGAGGGCTGTGTGTGGCCATGGCTGGAGCCTGGAGGACCTGGCAGGCTGTGCTGAGGGGTGGAGGTAGAGGTGTCTGCTCAGGGTCCTCAGGGTGCTAGGTTTGCCGGCACAGTGCTCCATGCATCTGGGCAAGGCCTGCTCCTGTTTTCTGTGTTTACCCCTGTACCCTGCTCTCCACATGTGGGTCTCATCTGTCTGGTGAGTGTGCATGGGCCCCTGAGTGCAGGGGGTTTGGTCCTGGCCAGGGAGTGCCAGTTCCCTCCCCCTCTTAGCTCCCATTTAGTTTCCCTGGGTGAGCTCTGGCTGCTTAAAAGTCCCAAGCAGTGGGCATCATCACCTTACTTGTGTGCAGCTCCTCTTGGCCACCCCTGCGTGGTCTGTGGCCCTCACTCATGGTCCATCAGACCAACAGGTCCCCTAAAGCGTCCAGCCTGTGGTGGGCAAACCCCAGGTGTGCCCCCAGGGACCCCCACTAGGTCCTGCCCTCATGAGTTTCTCTCAGGAGCAAACTCTCAGGTTAGGTGGCTCCCAGAATGGCACTGGGTTGTTTCTTGTGGAAATGTTTCTCAGGTACCCCTCGGATGAGGGCTCTGCATGCAGGTAGGGGATGCATCTAAGGGTGGGCTCCTTGCAGCCAGGGTCTTATAACAAAGTGCTGTCCCCGGCTCGGCGCCTGTGGCTCAAGCGGCTAAGGCGCCAGCCACATACACCTAAGGTGGCGGGTTCAAATCCCCAGCCCGGGCCCACCAAACAACAATGATGGCTGCAACCAAAAAATGGCCAGGCGTTGTGGCGGGTGCCTGTAGTCCCAGCTACTTGGGAGGCTGAGGCAGGAGACTCGCTTGAGCCCAGGAGTTGGAGGTTGCTGTGAGCTGTGATGCCATAGCACTCTACCCAGGGGGTTAACTTGAGGCTCTGTCTCAAAAAAAAAAAAAAAAAAAGTGCTGTCCCCTACAGGGACCCTAGCCATATGCAAGGGGAGCCTGGTGACAAGCCAAGGCTCAGGAAGTGGCCACAGTGTGGAGCTGTGTAGGTGGGCCCTGGACAGCTGAGCAGGGGCCTTTGTCCATCCTTATCAGTCACTAGAATGTTGTCCACCACTGCCTCACTCCTCTCAGCTCTCAAGGACCTGCCACTGCCTCCAGGAAGCCTACCTGGTCTTCCCAGTCCTAGCTTATCTCCTATATGTGCTCATGTCAGTGGGGGCGCAGAAGGGACAGGTGGTGGTGGGGTCTCATTTTTGTCCCTTCATACCCAGTATTACTGGCACAAAGTTGCTTTTAAAGTCAACCCTCTCCTGAATGGTCCCTCTCTGCTGGGAAGGGGCGGCAGGAGGATAGGGGTCTGGGCCTCTCTGGTCTGCACTGCCTCTAGCTGGCTCAGGGTGCATGTGGGAGCCACTGGGAGCACTTTGCAGGTGACAACAGTACTGCAGGGCACTCCCCATCCCCCACTGCTTGGGTAGCCCAAGGGGCCAGCCAGTGTGTCCCCTTTTCCTTAAAATGTCCACTGGTCCTTGAGGGCCTCTACAGGAGACCCCTTAGGGCTCCCCTTTCTGTGTACAAGTATCCCTGTCTATGCATCTCTATGAACGCAGGCCCGTGTGTGTGTGTGCACGCACGCGTGCATGCTTAGGGCCTCTGTGTGTGTGCAGGTCCTGTGTGTGTGTGTGTGTATGCCCTGTGTGTGTGCGTACTCAGGGCCTCTCTGTGTGTGTGCAGGTCCCTGTATGTGAGTGTGTGTGTCTGGGTCCCTGTGTGTGTGTGTGTGTGTGTGTGTGTGTGTGTGCAGGCCCTGTGTGTATGTGTGTGGGTGCATAGGCCCCCTTGAGTGTGTGCAGGTTCCTGTGTGTGAGTGTCTGTGCAGGCCCTGTATGTGTATGCAGGTCCCTGTGTGTGTGTGCGTGTGCAGGCCCTGTATATGCCGGTGGATGAGTGTATGCAGGTCCTATGTGTGCAGTTCCTGTTGTGAGTATGTGTAGGTCCTGTGTGAGAGTGTGTGTGTATAGGCCCTGTGTGTATGTGTGTGCAGGCCCTGTGTGTATGTAGGTCCCTGTGTGCTTATCTCTGCTTGTGTGTCTTCGTTAGTTGTGGCTTCTGTGGTGATGCGGCCCCTATTTTGGGGATACTGAGCCTTTTCTTGTCTGAAGCTTATCTTCCTGGTTGTCCACTTGTTCAGCCACCTGACAAGGGAATTCTACCATGACTGAGAGTCAGCTCAGTGAACTTGTTGAGAGGAAGACAGGTTGATTCCACAGACATCTGGGGTGCTGGGCTATGGGGTGAGGCTGGGGAGTGGCTGCTCTGGGTCTGGGGTGAGGGAGTATGAGACAAGGGTGTCCCTAAGGCAGGAATGGGATGGGGCCCAGGAGGGGGCATTTGCACCTTCCAAGCCCCCCCCAATCCAGGTAGATATGTGGGGAACAGGGCTGAGCCCTCCTGGGCACTGTCCCCTAACCTGTGGCTCATGCTCTGACTGGCAGAGCATGGGGACCCCTCATGCCCCTGCACGGACAGTGCTCTTCCAGCGTGAGAGGACGGGCTTGACCTACCGTGTGCCTGCACTGCTCGCAGTGCCCCCTGGGCCTATACTGCTGGCCTTCGTGGAACAGCGGCTCAGTCCCAGTGACTCCCATGCTCACCGCCTGGCATTGAGGAGGGGCACGCTAGTTGGCGGCTCTGTGCAGGTGAGCGGCCAGGATGGGGCTGGGGCTGCACACTGAGGATCAGTGGGTGTCAAACTCTGGCCCTGCACTCCTGAGGTGCCCTTGTGGGACTGGGGCTAGGGCCTGGATGTCCTGGCTAGCAGCCCTTCTTCCTCTGGGCAGTGGGGTGCACTGTGTGTGCTGGGGACAGCAGCCTTGGAGGATCACCGATCCATGAACCCCTGCCCTGTGCTGGATGCGGGCACTGGCACCATCTTCCTCTTCTTCATCGCTGTGTTGGGCCACACGCCTGAGGCTCTGCAGATTGCTACGGGCAGGAATGCGGCTCGCCTCTGCTGTGTGAGGAGCCATGACACTGGCCTCACTTGGGGAAGTGCCTGGGACCTCACTGAGGAGGCCATCGGTGGTGCCATACAGGGTAGGTGGCAGGTGGGGGCTTGGACTTGGCCTTTCTGGCCCCATGAAATAGGGGAATCTCTGGTTGGCCCCAGCCTGCCCTGGGACTCCACACAAATGTGACCACCCATCTCATTCCTCAGCACTGTCCCCTGTATCCTGAACCTCAAATGGTATTAGTCACCCTCCTAGCAGCATGGTGGGTAGAAACAGGATGCCCACCTCCACCTGCGACTGACATTGTAATCTTGCTGAGGGGAGGGTTGCTAAGGCTCAGTCCCCAACCCAACAGGTCCCCCCCCCACCTCTTTCTCTCATCTCCTCACCCTATCCAGGGCCTCTGCCAAGAATTCTCCTCTGTCCCCAATGCCCCCAGCTCAAGGAGCTGACTACTTACCACCTCTGTGGAATGTGGGAGCTGTGCAGAGGGATGTGGTTGGGACTCATGGCTCATCTGCCCACAGATTTTCACCTTTGTGCCTTTGCTCTCTGGGTGGCCCTTACACCTTGGGTTCAGGACTTGCTGTGAACCTGCCACACGGGCTTATCAGCACCTGCTAATGGCGATGAGAGGACCCAGGGTGGCCAGATGAGTCCATTGTAGAGGGTAGTTAGCCACAAGCTGACCCAGCCCGGGGCTAGGCTCCCTCCACTGCTTACAGCTCCCTTCCCTGGGTAACCAGCAGTGCCCACCTCTGTCCTCCTCTCCACAGATTGGGCCACATTTGCTGTGGGCCCAGGCCATGGAGTCCAGCTGCCCTCAGGCCGCTTGCTGGTACCTGCCTACACCTACCATGTGGACCGCCGGGAGTGCTTTGGCAAGATCTGCCGGACCAGCCCCCACTCCTTTGCCTTCTACAGTGATGACCACGGTGGCACCTGGCACTGTGGGGGTCTTGTGCCCAACCTGCGGTCAGGCGAGTGCCAGCTGGCTTTAGTGGACGGCGGGCAGGCTGGCAGCTTCCTCTATTGCAATGCTCGGAGCCCCCTAGGCAGCCGTGTGCAGGCGCTCAGCACAGATGAGGGCACCTCCTTTCTGCCAGGAGAGCTTGTGCCTCCTTTGGTTGAGACCGCACGGGGATGCCAGGGCAGCATCGTGGGCTTCCCAGCCCCACCTCCCAGCAGGCCTCAGAGGGAGGGACGGGTGGTGGGCCCCAGGAGGCCCCCCGACCCTGTACACCTCTCTCCTGAGTTCCAGGACCCCCCAGAGGAGGGTTTTGGAGATACCTGTGGAGGCCACAAACCCGGCAGACCCTTCGGCCATCCACAGCCCCAGGGGGATGGCTCCGGGCAGCCCAGCCCTGAGCTTGGGGTCAGTGGGAGTGGGGATATGGGGTCCTGCACCTTGGTCCTCCCCATGGCCCCTGATACCCTGTCACAGAGCACTACATGGCTGCTGTACTCCCACCCCTCAGGGCACAGGGCTCGGCTTCACATGGGTGTCCGCTTGAGCCGTTCCCCACTGGACCCCCACAGTTGGACAGAGCCTTGGGTGATCTACCAGGGTCCCAGTGGCTATTCTGACCTGGCATCTATTGGGCCTGCCCCTGTGGGGGGGCTGGCCTTTGCCTGCCTATATGAGAGCGGGGCCAGGACTTCCTACGAGGAGGTCTCCTTCTGCATGTTCTCCCTGCGCCAGGTCTTGGACAACGTGCCCACGGGCCTCCTGTCACCCCACTTTGGGGACAAAACTCACTGCCAGCCCTTCTGATGTGCCCACTGGCTGCCCAGGCCCTGGGCTCCTAGAGAGGAGGGGGTAGAACAGTCTCCACAATGAGGCTGGAGGCCAGCAGCCCAGTTGGGTGGAGCTCTGTGGGGTTCCCCTAGGGCAGTGGTTCTCAACCTGTGGGTCACCACCTCTTTTAACTGTATTAAAGGTTCACAGCATTAGGAAGGTTGACAACCACTACCCTAGGGTTTGTGTAGGGTGCATCTGGGGTGTTGAGTCATAGATCAGCTCAGAGTCACTGCTGCTCTTGGGAAAAGTATGAAGCCACCTGCCAGGGGCACCTCTCCAGTGGGTGTGGCTTGGATTAGGTGCCAGCCCCTCAGGCCACCTAGGCTACTTAATGGTCTGCACTGGTTTCTCTAACCTGTGCTGGCTGGCTGAGGAAGAAAGGGATGTGCTTATGCAGAGGTAGATGCTTTGCAATTCTTCCCATGTGCAAGGCCTAGGGGGGGTGCTGGTGCTCTGGCATGCTTCTCTGATCCCCCACTCTCCCCTCTGGGGCAGACTCTACTCCCAAGACAATGACCAGAGGGGAGGGAAAGTGGAAGAGGAGGTGGCACCTCTGTCTGCTGCCTTCTCTGTGACAGCCCAAATCTACTGGGACTTGCAAATGGGCACAGTCTGTCCAGTGCCCAAACTGCTGAGGGCAGAGCTGGACATCAGGAGGACATCACTTCCCTGAACTAGCCAAGTGTCTGCCCCACTCCCCAGAGGGCTTTAGCTCTGCAGAGGTGTTTTCTTAGGGAGGCCCCTTTATATTTCTTCTTTTAGCCTTCATTTCTGAATATAAAAATGATATATGCACATTGTAGAAAATTTGGAAAAGGTAGAAAGGACTTTCATGGGGTCTCCTGCTCACCCTACTAAGGGCATCTGCTGCCCTGTGGTTGCTGCTGCTATCAGACCCACAAATGTAGCTCTCTGGCCCATTTCTTCCCAAACCCCTGCAATGCCACTTCTTCCTAGCTCTGAATCATGCGTGACCAGCAACTTTGGGTTTCTCTAGGTCCAGTTACCTCCCTGGATCTTCTTAAGGCTGTGGACCCACTGCTGGTCCCCCTTAGTGCTAGGCCTCTGAGGTAGCAGGGCTCCCAAGGTAGGGGTCACAGAGGCTAAAGATGGGGTCAGGCTGGTGTAACTGCCTCCATAAACAAGAAAATATTTTTAACATTTTTTTTGATAGTTCTCTTATATTTCAAGTTCCTAGGCTAGTAAGACTTGCTGACCAGAATTTTGTAACTTTCTGTTACATTGATGCATTCTTTTTTGAGTTTCTTTCCCAGGACTGGCAGAACCTCCTTACAGCCATGAGATAACTGCAGAGACTTACACCACCTTTTTGTCCAGAAAAGACAAGATAAGTGACACCCCATGGGAGATTATGCCCAGGGACCTACTGAACCTGAGCACAGGGATGAAAGAATGACCAGTATTAACCCCTAGCTCATTATAGTACTAAAATCCCCACCCACCTGGGAGGGACTTACCTACTATTTTGTGTTCTTGGGATATACACGTATGCATTAGCATGATTTCTTACTGCATTTATGTGCCCTGGATGCCACCCCAAACATGTAATGATGCTCACTCCCATCATGCATTATGCTTTCCCCCAATAAAACCCTCCTGACCCTGCTGGTGGGGAGGTGGAGTTCAGGTGGCCTGTGCTCCCCTCCTAGCAGTTGTGTCTCCTGTCAATAAATCCTTTCTTCCTTGACAATCCTTTTTGTCTCAGTAATTGGCTTTCTGTGTGAGAGCAACATGATGGCACCTCAGCACCATATCCTCACATGGCAGAAGGAGTTGGGGAGCTGTCGGGGTCTTCCTTTATTAGGGCACGGATCCCGCTCATGAGACTGCACCTCATGGACCTCATCACTTTGGCACCCCAAAGGCCCCACCTCCTGACACTATCACCCTGGATTTAAGAATTCCATGAAGGAATTTTTGGGAGAACACAAGGCAGTCTACTTTTTTGCTTTCAAATCTAAGCCGAAGAGATTCCTGAGGTTCTGGAGGCCCAGAACCCACAGGTGCCATGGCCCATTCCTTGTTGTTCACTTCTACACTCGGGCGAGTAGTGCCCCAGATTTCTGCCTGCCCAGAACCTCAGACTGTGACCTTATTTTATTATTTTATTTTTTTGAACAGAGTCTCACTTTGTCACCCTTGGTAGAGTGCTGTGGTATCACAGCTCATAGTAACCTCAAACTCTTGGGCTCAAGTGATTTTCTTGCCTCAGCCTCCTGAGTGGCTAGTACTACAGGTGCCCACCACAACACTTGGCTATTTTTTTCTGCATTTTTTATTGTTTCTGGCTATTTTTAGAGAGATGAGGTCTCGCTCTGGCTCAGGGTGATCTTGAACTCATGAGCTCAGGCAATCCACCCACCTTGGCTTCCCAGAGTGCTAGGATTATAGGCCTGAGCCACTGCGCCCAGCCTGTGACCTTGTTTGGTAATATAGTCTTTGCAGATGTGATTGAGATAAGAGGAGGGTTAGTGGTGCAGGGTATATAACTCCTGCTATTATGGAAGAGGGGACTTTGGATGCAGACACAGGGGAGACAGCTGGTTGGAGATTGAGGCAGAGGTTGGAGTCATGCTGCCATAAGCAAAGGGGTAGGGTTCCCAGAGGCCAGAGGAGGTGGGAAGGACCCTTCCCTGGAGTCTCCTAAGAGAGCACATTCTTGTCGACTTCTTGGTTTGTGACTGTGGGCTCCAGAGCCAGGACAGACTTTGTTCTTTGTCTAAGCTCTCAGTTTGTGGTAGTTTGGCCCTGGGATGTGAGCTCACCTTCCTCCACTTTCCACCTCAGAGGCCTCCACCCAGTGTGGATCCTGGCATCAGATATCAGGCAGGCTTGGGCTTCAATCTAGCCCCACCAGGCTCAGGGTCACTGGTACAGAGCCTCTGATGTACCTAGGTACCCCTCAGCTGGCACAGCCCAGGAAGGCCTGGCTTGTAGTCAGCACTGGCCTGTCCCAGTAGGCTCCTGACTCTGGGAACCTGGTTTCCCTACCTGCCCCCCTGCCCCAGCTGTCCTCCCACCTACTGTCCTGCCTCTTTCCTTCCTTCAACTTGAGCCTGATGGGCCACATGGACATTGTTTCCAGTCTGGGAGGATGGTGCCAGCTCAGGGGTCTGTTGTGGTGTCTTTGGACATCTTTGCAGACTGCCCTTCCTCCTTGAGCTGGTGAGGGCATCCAGAGAGAACTACTAGATGTCTGTGTGTTGGGAAGCAGTCCTGAAGCCGTCTGTGCTGTGACCTCACGTGGTGATGGGTCATGCTAAGGACCCTGTAATGGGGTCACCCTGGTGGGTGAGTGGGTATAGTGTGTCCCGGCATCCTTAAAAAGGGGACAGAGAATCAGAGAGGAGGGAGATGCTATGGAGCTGGGTTTGGAGGTATAGCTGGGCCCACATCCAGAACTGGGTGGCCCCGAAAGGAGGCAAAGGCAGGAAACTGGTCTGCCCCGGAGCTTTTAAGAGACCCTGATAATGCATCAAGGTCAGCCCCGTGGCACTACGTCGGGCTCCTGGTCTCTACGGTGGCAGGGGGACATGCTTGTGGTGACTTGTTAGAGCGGCCCTGGGAATACCTCGTGCCCAGCCTCCCCATCCCTTTCCTGCCTCTGGGAGCATTTTGCTGGTGTTTGAATTTTCCATCCTCTTCTGTCTCTCCTTCCTTCTGGTTTGGTGTCACTCTGCTCCACAGTGCCTGTTGCCCCAGGTGGGCTTGTGCACCCTGGGAGAGCTGGGGTCCATTCGTCTCACCTGGGCCTTCAGATACTAGGATGGTTAATTCTGTGTCAACTTACAGCACCTGGATATTTGGTCAAACACCAGTCTAGCATTGCTATGAAGGTATTTTTAAAGATGAAATTAACATTTACCTTGGAGTGCAGTGGTCATTCCCCCCTTCCCCCCACCCGGTGATGTGGGTCATCTCTTCCAGTCTGTTGAGGTCACCTAAAGAGGAAGGAGTTCTGCTTCCAGACTGTCCTCAGCTTGCCTGCCTTCCCAACCATTTGAACCAATTCCTTAAAATAAGTCAGTCTCTCTTTCTCTTTCCCACTGTCTTTCTCCAGACCCTGTTGCTTCTCTTTTTCTGGAGAACCCTAACTAATACAGGTGCCCCCTAGGCTTCAGTTTCCCCTTCTGTACATTGGTGAGGAGTAGAGGCTGCCACGAACCTCAAGCTCACATCCTTCACCCTCACCCAGTCTAGGGGCAGCCCTTGAGGTCAGGCAGGTAGCCAAGGTCCATGCTCCATACCCAGTCTCTGTGGTTCAGGAGCTCATCTCTCACCCCAGAAATGGAAAGTCTTTTCACCTTGCAAAACTGAGAATCTGTACATTACACTCTTGCCCAGCCCCTGGCATCCACCTTTCTGCTTTCTGTCTATATGAATTCAACTCCTCTGGGAAACATCATATAAGGGGAAGTATATGTCATTTATCCTTTTGGGACTGGCTTATTTCACAACTTTTTTTTTTTTTTTAGCAGGTGTTGGACTTTCCTTACTTTCTAAGGCTGAATAATATTTTATTTTATGGTACTGCCACATTTTATTTATCTATTCACCATTGATGGACACTTGGGCTGCTTCCATTTCTTGGCTATTGTGAAAAATGCTGCTATGAACACAGTGTACAAATTTCAATCCTTTTTTTTGGCTGAATGATTATTACATTTATAATATGTTTATTTTGGATTCCATGACATGTGGCTGGTGCCCAGGCACCAGATTGGTTCCTGGCACTCATAGCCCCAGCCAGCTGCCTCTAGGTATTGCCCCTCTAGGCCCTGCCCTAGGGTTCGACAGACAAGTGGCCCCACTGTCGGGTGGGGCAGCCTGACCAGGGTGTAAGGAGAAAAGATCCACCCAAGAAAGGTGATTTGAGCAACACTTGAGGCCCAGTGTTCAAGGAGGACCCTATGGTGTAGTCATACCACTGTGATCACCGTCCAATGGACCCT